ACATCTGTGCAAATGTTTTCAGACCTTCAGGATGTTGTCCGTTTTATATTAATTTCATCAGCCTTAATTTCATCAGTGCTTTACTTAATAATTAAGCTAACTTTACTGTGGAAAAAAAAATCCAACTTGAACTAAAAAGATAAATAGAAACTACACCCTCTTTTAATTCAGCTGCTTTCTACATTAGGACAAGATTATAAGGAGCTGGTCTCTGGCTTCCACTTGAGAGCCTATTTAAAGAAGCCACACTGGTTTGGACTCTTTTTAATTGAATTGTCTCTTAGCCATTTAACATGCAGACAAAGGTCTGTAAAATTTAAGGCAGAGGTGTGTGCTCTTTTCTTTCTCAATCAATAAATTCAAGTATGTTATGCTACTATTCCACAAAGAAAACTAATAATTTTAATAGGCAAGAATTGTTCAGTTAACAGATTCTTTGTTGAATCAGAATAGGGTACTGTATTTCTGACGGAATACTTAGTTCTTGCAGATCTTGAGCTATTTGAAATTTTTGGCAAACGTTTTCAGTTTGGTCCTAAATAATAATAAAAAAAAAAAAATCATATTTGATTCTTAAGAAATTCATAGCTCATTATTAGGATTTTTGTTGGTGAGACCCACAGCCGAAACGAACACCAGGGGGCTCTTCTCCTTTTAAAATGAGACCCCTTCTTGCTTTCAGAAGCTAGTGTTGATACCCCACATCAAGCATCCATTTTGGACTGATCACCAACCAAAGGCGATCAACTTATATTGATATCTGGATAGAAAACGCCACCAATTGTGGTGAATCGTTAAAGGACACAGGTTATGTAAAATTCAGGTTTTGCTGTATTTTTTTTATTTATTTACTTCAGTGTTTGTCTTTGCTGCTTCTACACTATGCAAGTACTTTCTAAGTGCATTTTTAGAGGCATCCCTCTAATATGATTGGTTTATCTGCAGAAAACAAAACACTATCCATAAATTGTTTTGCAATATGCACATGTTTTATGGGGCATGGAAACAACCCCTTTCAAAAACCCTACAGATAATTATGTCACCGGTTTTTAACAAAGCTCTGGAACTTTCTTAACCGTAGCCTTGCAGTAAAGTCTTATTTCTTACAAATTAAAAGAACACTTGCTCCATCCTTGCTGGTTGTGCATCAGGCGTTAATTTTTTGCTTTCTGGCTCATCTCAGGGCAAACAATATACAACTGTAACAGTACAGCTGTTTGCAGCCATTTTCAAAATGTATAAAGTGCAGTATACAGATTTTGGCAAAAAAGTTACAGAGCTTAATGCTTTTATTTGGGGTGAAACAACTCAGTCTAAAAGAAGCTCAAAGTAGGCCAAACTAAGGAGGTTAAATCTCATTATCTGTACAAAAAAAAAATAACAGTAACATGTTTTGCATAGGCCATAGACCTATCCCCATTTCTTTAAAGGAAGCATACTGCATCAGAATTCTGCCAAAAGTCCATACGTGTAAAAAAACTCACATGAGCAGTTTTATTTAAAACACATGCATGTGAACTACTCTCCATGCACATTTGGAATGTACTGTGAATGCAGATGTAATGCTATGAGGCCCCAAATATATCATAACCATGAGTCCTTTTCTGTGCCTGTGGTTTCATTTTTATGCTCCTATAGATTCTCTCTAACTCGCGTGTGGACCTGTGTCTGTGCACTTATGTCAACTGTGAAGCCGTTACCCACCAGACAAAGCAACTTGTCTGTGATTGGCTACTTTTCAGGAAATCCTGCATCTTGAGGCTGTCCTATTTTTCCTACTGGCAAAGCAACCTCAGGTTAACCGCTTCTCAAGAGTTGGAAGGGAGTGAGCAAAGTCATTAGATATAACATGGTCTGGATGAATACTGGATTCTGATTGGCTGTAGGGTGACGGTAAAAAAAGGGTTATACTGTAGGCAGGGTTAGGATTAACATGTTACTATGTAACGGCTTACAGTAACTGGCTTATTCATTATTTGTTACCGTGTATGAATGAGGACAACAGTTTCCTGGTGAGAGTGCATGTGTCAGCAACGTGCACGTGTATGCACAAGTGGGACAAGCTACAGCAATGCACAACTTTAGCATGAGCACAGAGGAGAGACAATGGCAGAGCCACTGATTCAATGACAGGGTTCCTACAGAAAAAACATTCAATGAAGGATAAATATTTCAGTATTTTGCTAATTATTATCAGGAACAAAGACTTTATCAACATCGGTTAGAAGTTGGTATTTAAAGATGCTCCTTACATCATCTCAGCACTGTCTGACAGCTGTTGATCGTAATCAACACACATTCTTTACTTTCTCAGCGCTTTAAGGATTTTGTTTTTTTCCAACTTTGTGGGGAGCAGTCTGGGGTTAAGGGTCTTGCTCAGGAACCCAGAGTGGCAGTTCCTGGGAGTTTGTAGGACTTGAACTCAGAAGTGCAATGCTCTGACCACTAGACCACCACTTTGCTTGCATGATTCATGTTTGTTAACACAAAAATCCTGGGATCCTACAGACCTGCTAGGGTTTTTTTTTTTTAAATAATTTTATTTCTGTTAAATTGCTTTATAAACAAAATAAAAAAAAAATTTTCTTTTATTATAAGCAATATAAGCAACTCACTTGTGAAACCATGCACACCAAAATAGTGTAGATTAGTTTTTAATGTTTTCAGATGTCTTGACCTTTTAATTATTTAATGTATCAAATAATAACAAATATCTTATATTGCATAATTGATTCTCTAGTTGTACTTAAAATCCAATAGCAGGAATATTTTTCAATTTCTTTGACACTTCAGATAATAAAAAATACCAACGTTGTTACTGTGGCTCATAATGAGTTACTTTCACTGAGCAGTAACTGAGTTACTAACTTTTTTGGAGAAAAAAATGATTAGTTACTTTTCAACAGTAATTAACCTAACACTGTTTATAGGACACCTAGAAAAACAGTTCCGGTAAAATAGCCCAATAGTTTCTGCTAGCTAGAACATACCTGGAAATGTTAAGACAGTTTATGCCGGTTACCCTGGCAACGCGCCACAATTCAAGATGCAGGTTTTCCTGAAAAGTAGCCAATTATAAGCAGGTTGCTTTGTCCAGTGGGAAATGCCTTCAAATTATGAAAATTTAATAGGAATGAGCAGAAACAGGTCCACATGTGAGGAAGAGGTATAGTAGGCTGCGTGGTCATGGAAATCAAACCACATACGCATAGAGACAGATCAAGCACTAAGTGTGTTATATATTTGGGCCCCCTGGTACTGTATTTGCACATCTAACAACTCAAATATGCACGTGAGGCGTCGGTTATGAGCATCTGTATGAAGTAAAGCTGCTTGTAGGAGTATTTATTGCATCTTTTTGGCAGAACCCTGACGCAATAGAAGCATAGCAAGTCCCCTTTCATTGGTTTCTAACTAGAGATATGAGCTGGCCGATTACATGAGCTGGCCGATATGTTTTGACAATATTAGTGTTTTTTCTCGAATCAGTACTGGCTGACATGTGCAGGCATTGGTTAATTCATAAGCGCATTTAGCAGCCATGTCTTTAGATCACGTGAAATGCATGCACTACGTTTTACCTACATTTCAGATCCATTTATAAAGATTAGTTTGTTGATAATCGTTTCTTTTATTCCTAAATGGGAATTGCGTAGCTCTTCTCATCATTGCATCATTTGTATCAGGTAAACGGGGGGAGAAAAGTAATATCAGCTAAAAGAATAGGCCCAAAAATAATAACAGCGCATACCTAGGATCAGTTAGACAGATGTTGAAATAATCTGTATCGGCAATGGCATTAAAAAATCCCGGAAGACTAGAATTGAGTTTTCCATTATTGAAATTGTACAAATCTTGACAATTTTCAAGCTGATCAAGATGGAATCTGTATATTTATTTTTGGTACCTGTCTGGACCACTCAAGGTTGTAAAATTCCAAGAATCCTTACTTTTCAAACAGCTGAGGAATTAGAGCTGGTTTGTTTTTATTTACGGTGTGGGTTCAATAGTAGTTTCTGGTTTATGTTCAATTGTATTAAATGCACGACAGTTTTGTGAACCTAAAGTAAAAAGCAAAACATTTTCGAACAGGCAAAGTTCATACAGTTTTCCATATGTTCAACTCTACAATATGAAGATGGTTTAATTTAGAGTCAGCAAGACTGTATCTTCAGCCTGCTGCACGGACGGCTTCTAATGTTTAGGAATCAATAAAATATTGGTTTTCCTTTTCTTGTAACGGAACAAAAAAAAACAAAGGCGGATAGAAATCTTTTGTGGGAAAAACATATTTGAATCTTCTTCAAAACAGAAATTTTTACTGTTTTTCTGTTTCTTAAATTAGGCTTGAAGCCAACCCCTAATGTTCACCTTAATCCACATCTTCCTAACTAATGCTGCTCTGTAGGCTGAAATCTTATTAACAAAACAGTTTAACCATTTTTCTTTTTTGTTTTATAGTCTGGCCATTTAATTCCTCTAAAGATTCTAACATTAAAGGCATTGTTACTACACACCTAAGCAACATATAAAATAGTGAAATGTTTTTATAATCTAAGCTGAGTATCTTAATAAAACCATAATATAAATTTTGAATAGACACCTGACACACAAAGCAGCATCAACTCTCCAAGCACATTTTGACTCACTTTGTTCTCTACCACAACCTAACTGCACTGAACACATTTAGCTTAGTAGTCTGTGTAAATTAGAGGGGAATCCAGCTCCATTTAATGTGGCCTCGGTTTGTGCCAACATGCATCTAAACTGTTATTCCAATGACCTATGCTGTACCGGTTTCGAGAGTAGCTTGCTGTGCAGTCATGATAAAAAGCCCTTTGCAGCTGTCCACCTACATGCATTAGTTGGACACTCAGTTTCGAGGAGGTTTAAAGTGTGAGTCGGTGGTTCTGGCACCATTATTACTGAGAGGGTTTTGACATTTTAGCGCCTCAATCAGTCACTCTACACACACCTGCTTGCATTATTTCATTCCTTACCTCCTGCCGTTTCTTCTTCTAGCAGCTGGATCTGCAGTTGGAAGATCTTCTCCTGGAGGTCGCTGAGGGTGTGCTTCATTTTTTCCCTCCGTGTCACCATGTAGCACAAGTTACGCACCTAAAGGAGAAAAAGTACAGTTGTAAGAGTAAGGTTCTAACGATCGTAATAGAAAAATCACAAACTTGACTCAGATTTTAGCCTATATTTATAAGATATTAACACCTTGGGTTGTAACGTTATGCAAATGTAGCGATGTCTTGATTAAAGAATTAACCTCTTAAAACCCATCTAATTTTAAATAATCCTCGCCTATTTTGCATACCCAAATAGAAAAGCAAATAACTGAGGAACTATAAGCCCAAATTACATGTGTGATACATCATTTGAAAGCTAACACCTTCTAGTTTCTAAAAATTATAAATGAAAATAGTGTTACTGAGACGCAGCCTAAACTGAATCAGTTCAAACATGACTCAATTTTTTTTGTTTCTTCTCGAAAATAAGTATTTTTTTGCACAGCAGTAATAAAGACATGCTTGAGAATAGGCATGTCTCATTGTATTACATTTGTTCTACATCATCTTAACTACAGATATAGAAATTTCAGACCTTTTGCCACAACAGTTCCAAAGCTTAATTAAAAAAAAAATGTAAATCTCAATACAGAGTCATCTTAAGGATAGACTCAAGTCATACAGCGTCAAAATGTTAACAGATAAACACAGTTAATTAGAAAGCTGTTTTAAAACAAGATCTTGATGATTGATCAATAGGATGCAATGTCAAGCTAACACAAAGACTTGTTAATTAAATTTTATCATATGGCGATTTTTATCCCTACTTAATATCTTCATCAACACTGACTCTATAGCTAAAGTCACTTTTTCTCCATTGAATTATTAAAATCAATCAGCAGCAGGTAAAGACAAATTTCTCCTGTTTTATTCCACGTTCAGTTTATTTTACTTATTTTCATGATTTTATTATCTTTTTTTAGTTTAGTTTGTAGCACTCTGCAATAGGGTTCCAAGGTTAACTTTATAATGTACCATTATTATTATTATTATTATTATTTTATTAATCATCTTTATTACCTCCAGCTACATGGCTTTGAACCTCATCTTTCTTTTACAGCTGCTCTCAAACTGCCAAAGTCAAATGCAATCTGCTCATTTTAATGAAGCAATGTAGCCACAGCTACAATGGACATAGCCCCATCAAAAACCAGAACCAGAGTCTGAACCATAAAGACCTTATGGTAGCTTTCTAGTTGCTCCATCTGATGCCACTGTCATCCAGGGCACAACCAAACAAGTTTTCACATCTTAACAGTTTTGCAGCAATTTCTGTTAAAAACAAAACAAAAATGACACTTGAAGATAGTGCTTTTTATTTTGAATTTTTGAAGCTCAGGCCCATACAGTAGCACATCGATACCATGCTTATTTGCATAAATCCAACTATTATTCCTATTTTGTAAAAACACTGTATACTATGTGCATATTTACAAAAATATTTC